GCACATTGCTAGATGTGGACGTCTGGTTGTTAACTGTTGAACTGCCATTTCGCTTGCTCTCAACAGTAAACTCCCGTTCTAGTGCAGCGTGAATGACGTCGTAGAGTCCCGCAGAGAATATCAACGTCGGTACTTGCTGATCATTGAGCAGCTTGAAAAGCGGGTGGAAGCCGTGACGGAAGCTCAACGAGCCGAGAGCTACGGCTTGCTCCACCTGATCTTTGGTCAATTTGTATTCAACCAGCAGTGCGTGGGCGCTGTTCCACCATTGCTCCATGAACGGCAGCTTCTCCGCAGCAGACAGTGTCGGGGACATCTCAACGGGGTAGAACCTAGCAAAGAGTTCTTGCTCTCCTGCACAGACTTGCGGCTGCAGCACGCTACTGGTCATGAGCAGTCCGTGGCTGCTGCTCTCCTGCTCTAGTGGGGCCTGGGGGTCTCTACGTTGCTTGTAGTACGGTGTCAACGTTCGGTCGAAGTCGGCGATCACCAGCAACTGGTCCGCTCCATCCTGCGTGAACTTTTTCATCTTGCGGGCGAACGCATCTGTCAGCATTGGCGATGTTAGATCGAGTTGTTCGTTTTTGTTGTTGCTTAATTAATATTGTAAAAGAAAATGTTACCAGGGTCGCCGACGATCATTCGAGGAGAACGAAGTTGGTGGCCGTCGCTGTAGGAATGCGCGTGGATTGAAGGGCTGGCATCGGCTCCAGAGCAAAGGGTTATCGATCGGGTCGCCAAAAATGAACCGCCCGTAGCCGCGCATAGCGGCAGGAGCCTAGAGAGAGGCGAAGAGGATCGACACCACGCCATTCGCTTAGATTATGAGTTTGATCAGCAAACGTATATGTTCGAGTATTCGCTTAGATACGAGCGCCGATTATTCAGCAAGTTGAAGTTATAAAAAAAAATCATGTTGCACACACAAAATTATTGTAAACTTTTACGAATTAAATCAAATTTTTAAACAAATAAAATCTTTGTAAATTTATGCATGCTCGGAATCAGTTGCAGTCACTATTGAGCTTGCATAAGTTTACAAAGGTTTCATTTTAATTAATATAAGTTTACACACCTTTAATAAAACTTGTATAAGTTTACAGTCCAAAACTCTTGTTTGCGTTGTGTTCTGTCCAACAGCGGTGGACGTAGTACGATTAAAAGACGCATCCAAAACATTTTTTTTTATTTCCACCACAAGAGATAATGAGCTGCCCTACAGATCCTTGACTGACGAAATTTACCATGCCAAACCAGATTTACTGCACACCACGGAAGAGCATCAGCTCGGCCAGCTCCTGCTTGCCAGACACGTGGTCCGGCTCGCCAGACTCCTTCGCGTACGCCGCCACCTCCTCGAGTGTAGCCTTTCCCTGCTCGATGCGTTCGCCAAGCGCACTCTTCCACGAGGCATAGCGCTGTTTGACCATCTCACCCAACTCGTTTTTCTCCAGCAGCTTGGCCGCCTGACGCAGACCACGAGCGAAACAGTCCATAGAACCGATATGCGCAATGAAGATGTCCTCGAGGTCCGTGGATTCGCGACGCACCTTGGCATCGAAGTTGAAGCCTCCAGGTGCGAGGCCACCGATCTCGATGATCTTCTTCATCACGAGCACAGCCTTCTTCTCGTCCATGAGGAACTGGTCCGTGTCCCAGCCCACAAGCGGGTCGCCCGTGTTGCAGTCCACTGAGCCCAGCATCTTGTAGCTCGCAGCGTAGTAAATGTCGTGTTCGTAGTCGTGACCCGCGAGCGTCGTGTGGTTTGGCTCGATGTTGAGCTTGAAGTCGTTCTGCAGTCCATAAGTGTGTAAGAATGCCATGACCGTCGCAGCATCGTAGTCGTACTGGTGCTTCATGGGCTCACGAGGCTTGGGCTCCACCAAAAACTGGAACGTAGCTCCCAACTCCTTCTTGTAGGCGACTACCAACTTAAAGAACGCCGCCATGTGGTCCAGTTCCGTCTTCATATCCGTGTTGAGGATGCTCTGGAAACCCTCACGGCCTCCCCAAAAGACAAAGTTCTCTCCACCAAGCTTCAGCGTGATCTCCATCGCCTTCTTCACTCGCGCCGCCGCGTGCGCAAACACCTTCATGTCTGGGTTGGTGCTGGCGCCGTTCATGAAGCGACGGTGACCGAAGAGGTTGGTGGTTCCCCACAGACACTTGACGCCCGTCTGGTTCTGCTTGTCCAGAAGGTAGTCTGAGATCTCGTCCAGTAGACTTTGGGATTCCTCGAGGTTGACGCCTTCGGAGATCAAGTCCACGTCGTGGAATGTGTAGTACTTGACGCCCAACTTGGTGAACATCTCGAAGGCTGCGTCGGCCTTGCACTTGGCGACTTCCAGCAGACGCTCACGAGACGATAGGTTCGTGTTCTCCAGAGACTCGTTCCAGAGACGGTTGGTGTACGTCTCTCCACCGAACGGGTCGGAGCCCGTGTTACCAAAGGTGTGCCAGTAGCAGACGGCAAAGCGGCACCACTCCTCCATCGTCTTGCCCATGATCACCTCGGACGCGTTGTACTCGCGATAAGCGAGCGCGTTCTTGGCTTTTTGGCCCTCGAACGCAATCTTGGGCACTTTGGGGAAGTACTCCTTCACTTGGTGCTGCACCATCTTCTTATTCTTTGGAAGGCTGTAGGAAGTGAAACGAGGCGTGTCGACACTTGAGCTGCGTGGCCAGTTGCTCGCTGCGGCGCTTGCTTAGTGCTAGGCGAGTTCGCGAATGAGCAGAGCCATCGAAGGACTACATCTCGCCTTCCAGCTTGGGAAGCGGTCTTTGATAGGGCTGCCAACTTCAAGGTATTCACCGGAACACCAGTTTTAACCGGTTTTAAGTCATCATATCGGTGTCGTTGAATCGGTGTCGTTGAAGCTTCCGATCTGCTCAAGCCTTGAAGGTCAAATCAAAACTCAAGATACTTGTCCTGCTCGGCGAGCAGTGCTCGCAATACCAAAGTGCGGCGGCCTTTACGTAGCCTGAATTGTATTAACCCTGTGATCTGCTGAACGGGAGGATAGCAATTGCGTTGCCGCTGGTATGTCGTGAGGCGAGTGCGTGCGCTGGTATGTCGTGAGGCGAGTGCGTGCGTTTGATGCCATGTTGGTGCTATCAAAATTGCAATGACGAGCAAATGATGCCAGTGAGCATTGATCTTAGTGGAGATAATGTACTCAGCTGTTATGACCGAGACTTGGAATGCCACTAGCTTTAACTTCCTCTTTAAAAGTATTCATTAATTATTTTCTCTAAGTTTCGTTTGAAATGGAAACGAGCAGGCATTTTCACGAGCTTCGCCACCACAATCGACGTTAACCAGGGCAAACGGTCATAATGTTGTGCTTGTCAACTAGGACAGCCAAATGTATTGCGGTAGACAGAATGCAATGACGAGCAAATGATTACATGTGCATGTATCGTACAACATCAACGACCAATGTCACCATTTACGGTCGGTGCTGATCGTCTGTAATCGTCTGGAATCATAAAGATACAGTACCTGTACGGTAGTTCTTCTTGTTCTACAAGCAATTATAGACTATGGAATATCATCGATCATCGCGAGGACATTTGGCTACACGTGATTTTCCACCTATCTTACCAGGAGCACCTTTTGCCTCCGAAGAATTTGAATCCACTCCATTTTAAAAAGAAACATGAAATTGGGCCTACAGACAATCCTCTTTGATGTGGTATCCCAAATAGTGATACCCTCTAGTTAAGGAGGTTGGACCTGTCAGCTTAGAAGTCCAAGTCAAAATTACCTCTAACCTTCAGATTGTACGAAATAGACGGTTATCAGTATCAAGAGGTCGTTAACTAAAGGTAGTGTCAATCTATGTTAGTCCAGCAACGACATGTGCTTCGTTCGACCCAACTTCTCTCGAAACG